ATTTGTGGAAAAAGAATTCCATGGAAATTTTAGCATTTCTAACGTGACAAAAGATGGAAAATGGAATTTGACCATGGAAATTTTAACATATCAAACGGGGCCTTAATTTTAATTCGTACCAAATAGGAGCTATAGATGTTATTCAAGACTTTTATACACTAGCATGCACATACACTATTTCTTTCATTCTTTGATCCTTAACTCTGTACATCATGTTTATTTAAATAATGTATATACATCCTAATGGTAGAAGAAAGCCAAAATTTCCCCACCACAAGTGATGAACACAATAACACCATCCATATCTTTGATGCCAATAAAACATAATTTTAACTTTTCTTGTCCATCGAGAAAAATAAAAAGCGTACAATATGATTTGGAACGAATGTAATAAAAAACACATGTAAATGGTTAACTTCTAAAAGTTTTGAAAATAAATTCTTGTTTCCAATCATATTTCTGCTGGCTTCACTATTCAAATACCAAATATTACCAATACTTCCACTGGAAGCATTTAGCCCTTGTTTGACAACCATTATTTCAAAACTCTTTTTTCTACATATTCATTTTCAACCACACATTCAGACAATAAAATATTCTGCACGTAAATCCAAAACTTTTTTCTACTTTTTAATCACATATTCTCTAAAAAATTACTTTTCAAAACTTCATTATACCCAAATAATTAGTTGTCAAAAAGGGTCTTAATAAAGTTTTATATATCCTCATATACACAGTCGACTTCACTTTTTTTTTTGGGGATATTTTATCCAACATTCACTCATTTGTGACTTGTGGCATTGAAAACATTCAATATAGGCCTCATTACATTTTTTATGAAGAGTTATTCCCTCTTCCTCATTGAGAATAGTGAAAAGAGTGTTTCTTCTCTACTTCTTTTGACTCTTCATTTCCTTTGTCTTGTCCATGTTGATCATAAAAATATCTTCCACCTCATCTTCCTCGTCCACGTCCATGATGAGAGCCACAACCTCCCGTAAATGTGAACCGAGACTTTAAAGTTTGATCATGAGAAGAAGCAATTTAAGGACTTCTTTGATTAATAATTCTAATTTCATGAGCCTCCAACCTTCCTTGCAAGCTCTCTAAAGACATTGATGAAAGATCTTGTGATTCTTCAATATTCACCAACACAAGAATCATGATCAAATGTACTTGGTACGCTTAGCATAATTTTTTCGAGAGTTTTAGGTCTCCATAATTTCTCCATTTGATACCATCTAATTCACAATAGAATTAACTCTCATAAAATACTATTAAATTTTTCATGGTCTTTCATCTCCAACTTCTCAAATTTCACCCCTCAAGGATTGCAAATGAACCTTCTTCACTTGATCTCGATAGGAATAAGTTGTCCCAAGAATTTTCCACGCCTCTTGGGATCTTTTTGCCTTGGTTATCCTCTTATAAACTGCAATTTCAATTGCTTGATATATTTGGAAAAGTGTTTTTCTATCTTTTTGTTTCTTTTTTCAAGAAGTTTCTTTGTGCTTCTGACAATTGGTTTTCACTTTTAGGTGGTTGTACTCCTTCTACAACACTCCATAAGTCTTGAGATTCAAGACATAACTTCATTAGAGAAATCTAATTATCAAACTTTTCTCCATTAAAACGAGGCAAAAGGGAAACAAGATCATTGCTGGACATTTTTTTTTGTTCAAGGCTCTGATAATAGTTTGAAGTCAACATAATTTGGATAATTTGGAGAGAGATAATCTAAAAAATCACTTCTTATTTGCCTTAAAAAATACAAAAACATGTGGTCCTAAGTATGCATATCAAAATTCCATAGGAACCAACATAACATTTAATGAACTTGACTAGATTCAAACTATGGAACTCTATAAGACACTTGACTAAATTCAAATGCATGAATAGAATGTTATAAGATACCCGACTAGATTCAAATACATGAATAGAATGTTATAAAACACTTGACTAGATTCAAATACATAAATTATTCTAGAAAATATGATGGCCAAATCAATTTATTCCAGCAATTAATTCACACTTGAAGTTCTGAATGTAAATCAATTACGAAATTTTTGTTTTCTTTAGATTCGAAGAAAGTTTACGAAATTTACGAACGAAGTGATGAGGGACCTACATTAGATTTATTTAAATTGGACGTAATTGCTAACATATGGGCCGACATCAGATTGATTTTCATTTGTTGCTTGAATTGGAATTAGTGGATAATTAGCTCATTGTGCAATTAGATTGCTGTGGAATATGAAACCTTGGTAATTGCTAATGTATGGGGTTCGACGTTGTTACTTACTTTTCTATATTCCAAATAGATTTATATGCTTCCTGTTGGGTTTTGATACCCAATAAATCCCGAACAATAATGTTAAACGGTTTAGAATATATTTCATAGGTCTCGGCCAATGAGTGAAATAATTATCAATACAATCAATTTATGTGCTTGACCCGAAAGCAACGTGGGCTACTAGTAGCAACTTAATTTATTAATGTTACTTTGGCCTAAATTCACTTATAGAATGGCTTTCTTGTGTCTTGGCCCATTACCTTGTGTCTTGACCCGATTGATGATATAACCTAAACTATATATATCCACTCCATACCATTGCAAACGTGTGTGTGGAATGTTATTGCTGCTCCTTCCTCTGAGAGATATTGGCTGGTTTTTTTGCTTTGTGCTTCCTTTGCAGTGTGTTCTTATCTCTCCTTTCTCCTAGCCTTCGTGGCTATTGTGTGGCTGCAATAACCCCTTACATGTGTCTTTAGTGGGCAAACCGAATAGCAACTGGATTGGGTGTGGGTAGTGGTTTGAGTTTGGCAACTTTGTGGTATTACTTTCAGTATATATATAATATATTGAGCCCGGAATCCTTTGGTGATCGATTATTCTCTCGACATTTTGGTATCAGAGCCTTGGGTAGGTGAGAATATGTGAATTTTTAGGTGAAAATCGGCCTAGAAAATAACAGAAAACGCAGTAGAAAATTGATTCCAGAAACTGTCCAATTGAAAATCAAGGCAGTTGAATCTGTTTTGCTATTTTCTGGCCAAACCACTTATTTGTTGGAAGAACGGAGACCACCGGAGTGTTCAGCAGATCGAGGCGCACCTGGGTGGGTGGCGAGTGATCGGTTGCGCCGGTGCGTGGAACTTCGGCGACCACGCGTGAGGGTGCATGAGGGACTCTTCGGTGGTGGTTTCTTTAGACAGTTTCTTCCAGACGACGAGATGGACCTTCCGGTGGTGTTCGTTCTTAGTTTTGAATGCTACGATGAAATCTGGACGATTTTGCTCCTGCGCGTTTGTGATTCAGTTTGGTGTTTTATTGGTTGCTACAGTTGATGGAGACTTTAGGGCGAATAGTGGTGGCCCTAAAGTAGTAAATTCGCATCTTTCGTTATTTGCATACTCAAATTGGTCTGCCCTGATATATTAGCTTATCTCAATTTAAATTTCAGCATTAGCACGTCATCGTGTGGGGTGACATTAGGATTGAGGTTATCGTGTGGGGCAACATTGCTTGTACTAGAAATTTAGGAATTATTTGCTCTGTTTGAAGTGTTTTTTAATCGCAAGTTAGTAATTGCTTTTGTGCTTTAACTGTTGTGTAGTCACTGTGTGAGACTGCATTGCGTGAAAATTTGAATTTTTTGTTGACATAACTTCGTGTTGCATTGATTATTCTATTAGAACACTCAAACTTATCCCGTTTGAATATTCCCTTAATTTGAGATCTTGAGTTTCACGAAACCCTAGAAATCTAGAAGGTGTATACGGCGGCCTTAGGATTACTTTGCGTGACCTATTTGTGCACTTTGGTTGTTTTTTTTTTCTTTTTTTTAAATGTTTTCACATTTCGAAGTTGGAATTTTCAATGGAAAATGAGATTTTTCAATTTGGCAACAAAAGATGAAAGGGATTTTGGTTCAACAAAAAATTTCAAAGACCATAGATGGAAAATTCTTTGCATATTTGACAAAAGTACAAAAAGAAGAATATGATGAATTTACTTACACTTCAATTATTTTATACCTATCTGAAACTATTTTGAGAAAAGTTAGAAAAATTGATTTTACAAAAGAACTTTGGTAAAAGTTTGAGGACTTATATTTGCTTAAGTCTACTTCTAATAAGTTGTACTTACTTGAAAGATTTTTCAGTTTTAAAATGGATCCTTCAAAAGATCTTGATGACAATTTGGATGTTTTTAACAAATTAGTTCAAGACATTGTTAATTGTGATGAGAAGGTGTCTGAAACCTATAAGGCTATCTTCAAAGGATCTTGATGACAATCTGGATATTTTCAACAAATATTCAAGATATCGTTGACTGTGATGAAAATGTGTCTGATACATATAAGGTCGTTATTTTGCTAAATTCTATGCATGATTCGTATAGAGAGGTTAAGAATGCAATTAAGTATGGTAGGGATACCTTAACACCCGAGATTGTCATAGATTCCCTTAAGAGTAAGGAGATAGAGATTAAGGTTGAAAAAGATGATAAGAGAAGTTGTGAGTTGCATATGATGATGAGTAGAATGAAGTTTATGCAAATAGATTTAAGTAGAGCTCAAGACAATGGTGACCGAGTAGTGACTCGAGTGATGAGGGTGGAAAGAAGAATGGCAAGGGATGGGACAAGTTTAGCGGTAAGCGGTGTTACAGTTGTGGTAAAGTTGGGCACTTTATTAGGGACTGTCCCAAGAATGTGAGGCGAACGTGACTATAGGGTCGAGTGATGACCCTAGCGATGTTTATTAAGAGTAAACCTAGTTACTGCACGTGCATCCGTGTGTAATCCTTTCGCATGTGTGTAATTGCTTGATTTTGTTGCATGGTTATAAGTGCATTTCAATGTGTGATATTTTGAGTGCAATTTAATTACTTGGTGTAATTGTTTGCATGTATAGTGGGTTAAGATGCATTAGATGTGTGTTGTATGTCTATTGATGAGATAAAGTATAGATGCCTAGGGGTACATTAATACTTTGTACCAGGGATGTGGAGTGTGACATTTGGATCACAAGTGGAGAGGTGATTAAATGTTAGAATCCTTTATATGTGAAGAGACCTTGATCAGGTGGAGTGTAAGAGAGGCACTTCTATCACTTCTGTTAGGTAGATACCCATTATCCACTTAGGTTGGGAGAAGTGATGTGGTGATAGAGGATTATCCCAAGGACTTAGAATCTATAGAGGTCTCCTAGTTAGACATGGGTTGAGTGATCTGTTTAGTGAACATGGTGGGCGATCAGAGGAGATATGCGTTCTCGAGGTGTGAGCAACACCAAATGAGATGGGATAAGTGAGGTGATATCTTTTCGTGGAGTGATTTATGCATTTGTTGCATATGTGTGTTGACCGTTTGATTGATTGACTTTGTGTTAATCTATTCTTTCGTGTTAACTTATCTTGGAAAATATCTGTGAATTATCCTATGTCATATCTTCATTGCATAATTATTTGCTGTTATTATCTTCTTCAACTTGGGTTTTTTTTACCTTAGCCCCGGTAAGTATATGGAATGGGTATGGTATGTGTTTTGGGTCCGAAACACGAGGTAAGGTATGTGATTCTAATTTTATTGGTTGCCTTGTGTTTTGGTTGCTTGCAGATTGATTGGGTATCAAGGTGGAGATTTGTTGGGTTTTGATATCCAATAAATCTCGGACAATGATGTTAAACAGTTTAGAATATATTTCATAGGTCTCGGCCAATGAGTGAAATAATTATCAATACAATCAATTTATGTGTTTGACCCGAAAGAAACGTGGGCTACTAGTAGCAACTTAATTTGTTAATGTTGCCTTGGCCCAAATTCACTTATAGGATGACTTTCTTGTGTCTTGGCCCAATTGATGATATAACCTAAACTATATATATCCACTTCATACCATTGCAAACGTGCGTCTGGAACGTTGTTGCTGTTCCTTCTTGTGAGAGATACTGGCTGCATTTTTTTGCTTTCTGCTTCCTTTGCAGTGTGTTCTTGTCTATCCTTTCTCCTCGCCTTCGTGGCTATTGTGTGGCTGCAATAACCCCTTACCTGTGTCCTTAGTGGGCAAACCGAATAGAAACTGGATTGGGTGTGGGTTGTGGTTTGAGTTTGGCGACTTTGTTGTGTTAGTTTCGGCATATATATGATATACTAGCCCGGAATCCTTTGGTGATCAATTATTCTCTCCACAATTCCAGGTATTTAAAATTTGATAACACAAGAACTTAAATATTTATCATGTGAAATATTGGAATATACTTTGCTTTCTTCTCTAGTTTGGAACATAAGTAGCTGTCTTCCTAAGTATGGAACATATGTTGCTGTCTTCCCAAGTATGGAACATCTGTTGCTCTCTTCCCAAGTTTGGGACATCTTGTGTAATATATATATATGGTGACAAAGAGGCTGATTGGTGAAAGATTAGTAGTATCTAAGATGGCAAAGAATAAAGGCACTACATGCTCCAAGGTGCAATCGCGTGAAATGTTACCTGTTCCAATTCTTGAGAAAGGAGTTTTTCGTTTTGATTGTTCTGTGCATGATAGAAATAATGCATCACCGAGCATTTCTTTCAAAAATCCAAAATGCAGGGATACACCAATTACGAACTGTCATGTAAATCCAACCTACACTCCGACATTTGAATGTGTTATGGGAGAACAAAGAGTAAATATTGAGGTAATATTATTTATCATCGAGTTTTCAGCATTTTACATTCTTGGATGTTGTTAAAACATTATTCAATTTTGATTCCATTGTCTTTATAAGTTTAGATATCTTAATATACTGGATTGAACTTTTCTGTGTTTTAGTTGCCGTCTGGTACCTCTTTTTATGGAACTGGAGAAGTAAGCGGTCAGCTGGAGCGAACCGGAAAGAGAGTAAACTACTTAATCCAGCTTTTTTGTCACTATGTATAGTTTTATACACTGCTTGAAGTACTAACTATTTTTACTATAAACAGATTTTTACTTGGAATACTGACGCATACCTCTACACTGTGGAGACAACTTCCTTGTATCAATCCCATCCTTGGATTCTAGCTGTTCTCCCTGATGGAAAAGCATTAGGGGTTCTTGCAGATACTACTAGACGATGTGAGGTACTTATGATTTATTGGTTATTTTGTGAGATTAATTGTTAGACAAAATAGTTTTTTAAAATTCAGGTTGTTGCTTGAGCAGATTGACTTGACGAAGGAATCAAATATAAAGATCATTTCTCCATCATCATATCCTTTGATCATATTTGGTCCATTTTCTTCACCAGCAGATGTTCTTATGTCTTTCTCCCGTGCTATTGGTAATTACGGATCATCGCACTTTTCATTTTTCGGTCGTTCTAAATATTTTTTTGTCTCTACTTAGGGGTATTTGGGACCGTATAGAGAATAATCTTACTGATCACTCGGGGTATCATACATAATGTTTCCTTTTCTGCTTCCTTTGCAACTGAAATTCACACGCTGTCCGGCTTTCATGTGTTGTTACATAATTTTAAACCAAGACTACACTTTTGCTAGTGCTCTAATCTTCTTGTAATCTTCCCCTTCCGACTACCCACAAGTTGAGTTGCAGGTAAAAATATAAAATAATGTTGCATTTTTACTTTCCATATAATTTGAATTATACAAAATGTCTAATGTTTCAAAACGCGATCCACGATCAAATTTGTCTTTCGCACACACTATTGTTGTTTTACTCTGTCTACGTACCTTCCCTGCTGCTTTAATTTGATCGAGGAATCTTGCTACCAGGTACTGCTTTTATGCCACCCAAATGGTCACTGGGCTATCAGCAATCTCGTTGGAGCTATGATTCTGATGCACGAGTTCGTGAGGTTGACAATATATAGTATCTAGATTTCTTATTTGCACATACACCTTCTTTCTCCATCATTTAGTTTTTCTTTCCGTGTTTGATTATGTTAGTTTTCTTGGTCTCGAACTTGTGGTCCTCTTTAAATGCTATGAACTTTCTTATGTAACACGAACAATGTGAACTTGGAATTTTGTTATGGGAAGTTCATACTGTTATTACTTTTGTTAAATTTCAGCTAGTTTCTTCAAGCATGTTTACATTTAACGTTAAGCTCGTTTTTCACTTGCCCAATGCAGATTGCAAGAACATTTCGTGAAAAAAAAATACCTTGTGATGTCATATGGATGGACATAGATTACATGGATGGTTTTCGATGTTTCACATTTGATAAGGCAAGTTCCATCTACTTAAAAGTTGGTTTGTTCTAGAGATGAATTATAAAACATACTTTTGTTGTTTATATGTATCTTAGGACCGGTTCTCGGATCCGAAGTCTCTTGTAGACTATCTTCATCAAAATGGTTTCAAAGCAAACTGGATGCTTGACCCAGGAATCAAACACGAAGAGGGTTATTTTGTCTACGACAGTGGTTCTAAAAGAGATATCTGGGTTCAAACAGCTTCCCAGAAGCCGTTTGTAGGTACATATAATACCTCCATCATTCCTCACGCTTCCTGCACAAAACTGAAAAGAAACCAAAAAAAGGAAAAGGAAGAAGAAAAATAGGAAAAAAAAAAAAAAGTGAACTCGTGGCAAGGAAACTTTTTGCATGTACGAACTTTTGCTTCTTTCTTGTCAATCATTAATATTATTTGCTTCTATCTATAGGGAAGGTGTGGCCTGGGCCTTGTGTATTTCCAGACTTCACAAAATCAGAAGCCCGCTCATGGTGGGCTAGTCTTGTCAAGGACTTTGTTACTAATGGTGTGGACGGTTTGTGGAATGATATGAATGAACCGGCAGTTATGGAGGTGAAGTTTAAACTTTGTTAGAAGTGCATTTTTTTCCTGGTTTTCTGTAACATATTTTCTTGCAGACTCAAACTAAGACAATGCCTGAGAGCAATATTCATAGGGGAGATCCAGAATATGGAGGCAAACAGAACCATTCACACTATCACAATGTACTGCTTGGCCCCGGACTCTTCTTTAAGTACTTCAACTTTACTCATGAAATTGATAAGCCTAGCTGAAGCTTTTTAGTTTGCTTACTATGAGAAAATGAAAAATAATCTACTATGAATGATTTTCTTTCACATTATGTATAATACATGAATTTTCATCACTGATATCAGTTGCTTATTTCAGGTTTATGGTATGCTGATGGCAAGATCAACATATGAAGGCGTGAAACTATCTAACGAACAAAAACGTCCATTTGTCCTTACTCGAGCTGGGTATGTGGGTAGCCAAAGGTATGCTGCTACGTGGACAGGAGATAATGCGTCTACTTGGCCGCATCTTCATATGAGTATCCCTATGGTTCTTAATCTGGTAAGTGGAAGTTATTGCAAAACATATCTTTGAAAACCGTAAAGGAGACAACATTATTTTGTGTTTCAATGTGTCACCGTTCCGGACTCAGAACTTTTTACTTTTGGTGTCATCAATATTTATACGTTGGGTTCATTCACCTCCAACTACACATTACCAAACCTACCAATGGACTCTTTTATGGAATTCTTAGTATTAATCCTCCATCATATGGACCTTTATGTTTACCCTCGATGGTGATAGTCAATAGAGATATATAACAAAATATCACCTTGCAAAGCATGGGAATGAACAAAATGAGTAAGAAATGCACCTCAGATATTATTCACATGGTTAAGGGATGTAAAAGAACAAATTAACATCTACAATAATTAAAAGATGAGATAATTTACAACTTTGGAGGAATTTAAGTGGTTCATTTAAGCTTCCCCTTGCGGTACTTCTATGCTATCGGTCATTGAGGAATACTTGTGCTGTTAATGGTCGCAAGAGACCGAATTGTACGAGGAGATCACCTGGGGGAGATCGTGGATATCCCTCATGAACACAGCATGTCAAATTTGTTGCTTGTGTTGTTTATCAACGTCAAATTTTCATGCCTCAAGCCCACAAGGAGGGATTTGGAAGCATATTTCATACAATAGGCTCTGCAAAATGAGAAGCCTCACGAGGGACTTGAAAGCATATGCTAATACTCATGAGTTGTGTGCATACACTTGTGAGAATGAATTTATGAACATAAGTGCGTTAACAATCTATAATCATAAATATGTGCTTTTATTCAAGTATTTCTTTAATGGAAGAGGGAGATAAAAAGTGACTCCGGTACTTATCCTTTCTTCTTACGATATAATTACATTTTGTATTTTATTTTCAACTGTTATCGGCACAGATGCTTGGGAGAGTATGCCTAACTGAACTTTCATTGAATTAAAGAATGCTGCCACTTTTAGTTTTTCCCGCTCCCTATAGTCGACCATATTAATGAGCTTGTGTCCAGGGGCTTAGTGGACAGCCAATTTCAGGGCCAGATATTGGTGGATTTTCTGGGAATGCAACACCAAAGCTGTTTGGAAGGTGGATGGGTGTGGGCGCTATGTTTCCTTTCTGTCGTGGGCATTCTATTAGAAATAGCGTTGATCATGAGCCATGGTCTTTCGGAGAAGAGGTTGGTCCCTCATTCACAAATAAGTGACTAACAATGTAACTGTGAAGTTCATATGTGAGTTTTTTGTCAAATGAATTTCACCATGCAACTATCACTTTTCTTTCCTTTGAATTGACTACACGAAAAGCGCTTCAATATTTTATGTAGTTAGGAAAAACTGGCTGACGTTGGAGAGGTCGCAAGTGAGATTATAGTATATCCTATGTAAGGTTCGTAATATTTTATTGACCACGCAAAACTGGTGCATTTTTTATTATTATTATTATTTTTTTTTTGTCAACGTTGTTAATAGATCTAAAATGATATAGTTATGTAAGTGCATAATTCATTTAATAAGAAATTTTAAATGTGAGAGAAGGTGTTATAGTTAGTTTAACCCTTTTTTAGGCATCAATTTTTTTACTAGGCGGTGTCTTATATTTTGAAAATGTCTTTTATGAAATTAAATAATGCAGTGTGATATACAATCATTTTAGGCCCTCCAACTACTGAGCTCCGTCTCATCTTTTACCTGAAACTTTTAATATGTCAGAGTTCTAGGTGGTTAACTCTGTTTGAGTTTCCCATCAGGTCTTCATTTCATTATTTGAAGTTGAAAAATCTGTGTAAATAATTTCTCTTATTTTTAAACGACTATAATAGAATTTTGTGGAAGAAGATATTGAATCCCAAAACATCTTTGTTTTTTCCTAGTTCTCTGGAATTTAGCTCAAATCCTAGTAATACCAAGTATGTAAAAGCCACCTGAAGTGGCAAATCAGTGATTTAGTTTTACCTGAAATGTTATATCTTGTGCATTATACTTCTGTTCTCTATGTTTGACCGAAGCTATCTTCTTGCACTGGTATAGAAATAGTATTATCCTATTTCAACTGAATTTCTATTGATACAGCCTAATTTTTACTAGTTATTATTTTTCGTGACATTGCTATCAATGCATTTGCTTTAAGATTACTGCTTGCTACTCTTCATTTCCTCAATTGCGATCTCTTATCTCTCTCAGTGTGAAGAAGTTTGTCGATTGGCATTGAGGAGGCGGTATCAGCTTTTACCTCACATATATAATCTGTTTTACTTAGCACATACAGTGGGTATCCCAGTGGCAACTCCAACCTTTTTTGCTGGTGCGTTCCTATGATGGTCAATTAACTTGACTTCTTGACGTTTGCGTTCGAGTGCATTTGCCTGTTTTTGGTAGTTACTAATGTTAAGATTCTTTTGCAGATCCCAAAGATATTGAGTTAAGAAAACAAGAAAATTCATTCTTGTTGGGACCACTTCTTGTATATGCCAGGTTCTCACCTCTTTTGAGCTTAAAGGCAATGGTTGATTCAATGTTTGGAATTAACGCTCTATAATACGTTTATTGCAATCAAATGTGCTTTCTTTTACGAGTTCAATGTTCCCTCTTATTTTTCTGTTGATTAATTTTCACTTGGTCTATAGGTGCTACAATAGGAAATATTATTCTTCTAAGTTCTGTTGTGTCCTGTACTTGATTTCGCAGCACCACGGAAGATCAGGTGTCAAGTCAACTGCTGCGCAAGTTGCCTAAAGGAATATGGATGAGTTTTGATTTTGAAGATTATCATCCGGTACTTCCAAATAACCTATTATATGACCTTTTACTTTCTTCCGAATTTTTTTTATCAATAATTTCTGCCTTCTAACTTTTTTCCTACTTCTGGTTGTACTAGGATTTGCCATCCCTGTATCTAAAAGGAGGATCCATCATTCCTTTGGCTCCTCCTTATCAACATGTTGGTGAAGCTAATCGTACAGATGATATAACTCTGCCGGTGGCTTTGGATGAACATGGTAACTTCTGTTGAAGGTTGAAAACAAAAAATATTTTCGTTTATGTAGGTGGTTTTATTAAATGAATTGAATTGTTTCTCTATATTCACAGGTAAAGCTGAAGGTTTTCTCTACGAAGATGCTGGTGATGGATATGAATACCTTGAAGGAAAATACTTGTTGACAACATGTGTTGCTGAACTTCAGTCTTTTGTGGTAACCTTAAAAGTTTTGAAATCTGAAGGGTCTTGGGATAGACCAAAGCGCCGCTTAAATGTGAAATTACTGATTAGCATTGGTGCTGTGGTATGTGTTCATTTTCGCAGTGTCCCATTATTTTTGAGTCAGGAGTTTGCTTGATCAAAAAAGTAAAATCTTCCCTTTGTTGAATCTAATAGTTGTGATATTTTTCGATTTGTCAAATAGCTTGATGCGTGGGGTACTGATGGGGAGGTTGTGCAAATCAAATTTCCCACGTAGCAAGTGCAGAGTGAAGAAAGTGAAAGAAGTGCAGAAAGGTTGGAAGACAAGAAAATGTGTTCTATAATTATGTTCACTTTCATATTTTATTTTCCGTTACTTCATGTATGTTCTTTTGTTTCCTTCCATATATGGTTCTGTTTAATAAGGTTTATATATGCAATAATTCTGGTTTGTAATAAGGGTATTAAATCCCCCTTCTTTACCATCGAAGGCAGTGAATTTGAATAAGAAATTATAAGAATTCTGGTTTGTAATAAGGGTATAAAAACTCCCATTCTTCTTGATTGTTAACTCTTCCTTCTATTAGTAATGCTGAGTTGAGATCATTAGTATTGTTGGATGCCTTTTAANTCATTAGTATTGTTGGATGCCTTTTAAGCCTCCATTTGGCAGCCAATTTATAAATGGTTTATAAATTCACACGTAGTCGAATTTATTTATAACACATATTCATAACTAAAAATTATTTATTATTATCCACATATTTTGTGGTATCCACTCTTTTTCATCTTTATAAATGATTTATAAACTTGTGAAACGGATGCTAAATAAATCGACTTATCACAAGGGAACAAAACTGTCAAGGACGCCTCTTGACATAAAAAGTGGGGATTGGTCTCAAAGTAGTTTTGCTAATACGATGTGTTTAACAAACAAAGTCTTTATTGAATATGTCAAACAATTACAAAGAGGCTACAAATCAAAAACTTATACGTCACAATTTATTTATCAGTTACAAATCACAAATATTATAAGTCACAACTTATCAGATAGTCACAAATTTTCAATCAAAAATTTTATATGTCACAAATTATCTTACGATCACAATTCAATAATTTTATAAGCCACACATTTGTTCATCAATCACAAATAAAAAATTTATACTTCACAATTTATTTATCTTTTACAAATAGAGCGTTAATTCGCATACTGTACCCTAAAAATAGAAAAGGCTAAACTCCCCTTAGTAAATAATTCAAATAACAATTTATCTAACACCCACGTCAAACTCACTGTGTAACTATCGAGAGATTGCCAAAAGGATAGGAGGTAGAATTATTTCCATGGAGCACCTTCCTTCAGGTAACACCAACAATCTTTCCCTTAACTTTTCTGTTCCATCTTTTGAAAGACTCCTAGATTTTCTTTGCCTCAAATTCTTCATTGCACTTTTTTATGTAGAGGGTTTACTCGGGTAATATGTTCTTCATTTTAGCATTTAATCTTTCATGTGCTAGTGTATACACTCAACTCACTCACACACACGTTTCCATGTGTGTGATTGAAAAGTAATGCAGCGCAAGTGTGAGCATTTGAAGAACATGAATCAATACTTGATGATTCACGTAAAATATGGGGAAGTGCCAATCAAGACTCGTTTATTCGTACATGAACACTGAGAATTTATTGATTTTCATTGGCTTACAAATTGCACAAGTCATCACTGAACTTTGTAAAAAGTTTTTACGAGGTCACTGAATTTTAAAAATCATCTCATTCCTTACTAAACTTTGCAAAAGATTTCTACGGGATCACTAAATTTTGCAAAATGTTTCCTAGGAAATCACTAAATTAGTGACCCCTCGGAAACTTTTTACAAAGTTCAGTGATGGATGAGATAATTTTTAAAGTTCAATGACCTCATGAAAATCTTTTGCAAAGGTCGGTGATAACTTGGGTGATTTTGAAAGTTCAGTGACCTCTTGGAAGCATGGCGTAAAGTTGAGTGACTATTTGGGCAATTCACTCTCCTTTCTTATAGATATAAGATTTTGAATCTCACTTAAGTGTCACTTTTGACATATGAGAGGCATATTTAATTTATTCCATATAGGTTTAAAATGAATTATAGGGAAAATTTTTACTAGTTATAAATTATACATGCATAACTAAGCCAATAACTGTTCATGATGTTCTATTTAAAAATTCACGAAAAATAGTTGTCTCAAAAGAAAAAGAAAAATTTTATTCTCCCATCACATGTTTTGCATAATTTTTCACTCATTCTCTATATATCATTCTTGATTCTATTACTTGTTTCCGTTTCTTATTCGTGATGAAAGGGGGGTGAGAGAGAGAGAGAGAGAGAGAGAGAGAGAGAGAGAGAGAGAGAGAGAGAGNAGAGAGAGAGAGAGAGAGAGAGAGAGAGAGAGAGAGAGAGAGAGAGAGAGACTATTTATTTCAAAAGGGTTGAGTAGTACATGAATTAGGGGGGAGAAGTTGATATTTTTTTTCTTAGATATTTAACCTAAAGAGAGTTAGAGATATTTTTGATTGATTTTTGGTTAAAATTTTAATATTGATATTTTGTTTAATGTTTTGTCAATATTGGCATTAATATTCTAGATTTTAATTCTAAGTTATTGATACACGTAGTATTATATGCTTTGTGTTCCACATGTTTTACTTGCGTTGTTTTATATGCCTTAGTTATATGTTTTAATTGTTAGTTTCCTCTTGCTTTTATACATGGTATTGTTATTTTCATGTGTTTCAAAAAATAGGTATGACAAGATTTGAGTTAAAGTTTTGGAATTGACTTTGGGTTAATAGTGTTAGGTTGTCTTGATTTTTATCTTAAAATAAATGATTTTGTCACGGAATGTCAAATTGGAGATTATTAGTCTAAAATTGTAATTGGTAACATTCGTATTCAAAATCATGAGTTATTGAGTTGTAATTGAAGTCAAAATAGTCAAAGATCGGTAGTATATATCATGAAAGAGTCAAAAATGTCAAATATTGGCCAAGGAGAAAAAAATCAATGCAAAATTGGTGCGTTCGAGCACTCAAAGTGGGAGAATGATCGCTTACTAAATGCAAAACTGGCGCTTCAGCAGCGAGCTTACTGCTCACTAGGCGCCAAGCAACCGGTTGATCCAAGAAATCATAGTTCAAGTTTCAAGTTGATTTTCCAATCCTATTCAATTTCAAACACTTCATGTTATATATTCTCAAGCATAGGTCCGTCCCAAAGAGTGTTGAATCATTATTTCATATTAGAGATCATATTATTGAAGATCCAAAATATATTCCTAAGATCTCGACTCAGCCCCAAGATCAATTCTTCATAAATCATTACAAGCATCTTATATTAGGTAATCTCAATATTCTAGTCAAACTCAATTCTTTCTTTACTAAACGAGAATAATGGAAATAATCACGACAAAGTCCAAATGGAATGTAATTGAGAAGGAAGGTTATAGTGCTACAGATAAGAAGGCAAAAATAGAGAATTCAGTTCCACTTACAACACGTCATCATAATTTTAATAAGTATTAAAGAGAGTAAGGCAGTAAATGCCGGGAATAGATACAAAATCGAATTATAAGTCGGGCTAATACGTAAAAAAAAAAAAATACATATGATTTTTTTTTCTACCTAAAAAAATTCAATTGGTTGCACCCCCCCCCCCCCCCCCCCTCAAACTCTCTAATATGCATATATAGGTTTTCACTTTTAAATCTGTGAAAAGTGGGAAGAAGTTGAATCATTCCCCGATTTAAGGTTCGTACGTGGCATATTAGGGGGAAAAATAATGCATGATGGTATGGATGTGCATGTGGGATAAAGATAATCCTAAAGAGTTCTATAGGGTGAATATTCATGCTCACTTTCACTTATGGTGTTGTGTGATGTGGTGTCGGTGTTAATAGATACAGTATCGAAAATAGGGTTAAAGATATTCAAACATTGTATAGGATCTATCAACAAATTTTCCTTGCTCATCTGGACACCTACTCATAAAATACAAAAGCGAAATAATGTGAGAATAAAGAATAATAATAATAAATAAAATAAATTAACTAAAGAACAATAAATGAACGGAGTAACCATTTTACAATTAAATTCCTTAATTTCTTGTACTGTTTCCTTGGCAACAGTGCCAAAATTTGATTACACCCAAATAATAATGCTATAGTTGTAACACAACTTTGGGGATGACAATTCCACAAGGAGATAGTTAAAAATACTTCAAGGATCCAAAAGGTGAAAGCTCTTTTGAATGTGTGAAGATAATTTATTGGTTTGAATGAAAGTAAAATGAAGGTTTGAAATAGCAAAGCGTCATAATTCCCTTAATTGGATTTGATCATTCAACATCAATAATTTATTCTATTAACTTAATTGAAGATGCTCAATCTAATTTCTCTAATCGGAGGAAATGTCATTAAAATCAGTTTAATTCAATTGTAATTCTAAAGATTAACTTTCCTACCATAGCATTCATACTTTTCTTTGCTAGAATAAAATTCAAATGATTTCTATTCACTTTTTGACATTTTAGCATAGTAATTTAGTGTTTAAAGTACACTTTCGTGCGCTTATCAGGGGCTTAGCATTTATGGGGGCCAAATAACATTACTCTTTAACTTTATATGTTAAATGAATAGCCACGGGATGATTTTTCAAACAACTATGAGAATTTGAACTTTTAGATCAAAAAATAACAAGGAAAACTAAATTTGGATCATTAGTTAAATGAATGTGATACATTAAATAGATAGAAAAGCTACTTAACTAGTATATTCTTTTCTTTTAGTTTTTTTATACTTTTTCATAGACGAATTCTTCATATTTTCATGATCTGCATATTTGTCAAGAGGGTACAGTCAGGGGTGGAGGTGGGGGGGGGGGGGGGCCAATTTTTAGACAAATTTTTTTTTTTAAAATTTTTTGGGCTCAATTTTTTTTTTTTAAAGCTATTTCCTAACTAATCCAGAATTTGTGGGATTACAAGTCCTTTGTGAACTTGTTCAAAGTTGG